CGTGTAGGAGGAGATGATGATCAAGGTGAAGAACCACCATACCCCACCGACAATACGCCCAGAGAGGGATCTAGTGAAAAATGAAAAAACTAGTTATTAGATCCCTGTTTCCCAAATGGATGGTCAAACCCACTGGTGGACCACAATCGATTCATTTGATGGCTTAAGACTGTTTCCTGGCTTGTTGTGCAACAAGAAATGTCCAAAACCTTTACTAGATAATAGCTCCAAAAGGTTAGTAAAACATTACAAAATGTAAATGTTGTCAGTATATTGAGTACAAGCTGTTCAGAGGTGATAGGTCACTATAACACGCAAAACTTCAAAGGGAAATCAGCCTGAATTGTCCTCAAATCCCTCTTTCCAACACCAAACATCCACACATGCCTTTGAAGATAGAGGATACATACATTCAACTCATAGCTGATTGATGGAGCATAAAGAAATGGTTTGACCATACACATAAATCAGTGATATCTCCGGTAATGACATGGCAAGGGAAACTGAGCACCCTGGAGCCAATATACAGCGTTAGCTCTCCCAGTAAACAACATCAAGGCCCAGTCATGTGTAAAGGGATGCGGTGGGTAATAGTTGATGTCTTGATGACAAATCTCCCAGGAATTCATGTGACTGACTGTCCCCTCTCTGGTGCAAAGTGGGAGCCTGCTTAATATAATCGGCTGCATTCACACCTCATTAAATCACTATACACCGAGCACTAATATGACACTGAATTAATTACAGCTGGGACTATGATATTTCAAGCCATGGCACGTCTGCTTACATAATAAACTGTATGTCAAGGGGCACAAGGACTGCCAGGAGTGTACAGGATGTGTATTAAATGGAAGGGATCTTATCAGGATGATTCCAAGTTGTATAAAATACTAGCTATTTTATATCACTCAACAGAGAATTGAATAAATCCAGGTGTCATGTCCTGAAATAAAGTTTGGAGAGGTATTGTTAATGTACACTGAACAAAAATATAAACACAACATGTGAAGTGTTCGTCCCATGTTTCAGGACCTGAAATAAAAGATCCCAGAAATGTTCCACAAAAAGCTTATTTCTCTCAAATGTTTTGCATAAATTTGATTACATCCCTGTTAGTAAGCATTTCTCCTTTGCCAAGATAATCCATCCACCTGACAGGTGTGGCATATCAAGAAGCTGATTAAACAGCATGATCATTACACAGGGGCACCTTGTGCTGGGGACAATAAAAGGCCACTCTAAAATGTGCAGTTTTGTCAAACAACACAATGCCACAGATGTCTCAGATTTTGAGGGAGTGTGCAATTGGCATGCTGACTGCAGGAATGTCCACCAGAGCTGTTGCCAGATAATTTAATGTTCATTTCTCTACAATAAGCCGCCTCCATCATTTTAGAGAATTTGGCAGTACGTCCAACCGGCTTCACAACCGCAGACCACGTGTACGGCGTCATGTGAGCGAGCAATTTGCTGCTGTCAACGTTGTGAACAGAGTGTACCATGGTGGAGGTGGGATTATGGTATGGGCAGGCATAAGCTACGGACAACGAACACAATTGCATTTTATCAATGTCAATTTGAATGCACAGCAATACCATGACGAGATCCTGAGGCCCATTGTCGTGCCATTCATCCGCCGCCATCACCTCATGTTTAAGCATAATAATGCACGGCCCCATGTCACAAGGATCTGTACACAATTCCTGGAAGTTGAAAATGTCCCAGTTCTTCCATGGCCTGCATACTCACCAGACATATCACTCATTGAGCATGTTTGCGATTCTCTAGATCGACTTGTACGACAGCGTGTTCCAGTTCCCGCCAATATCCAGCAACTTCGCACAGCCATTGAAGAGGAGTGGGACAACATTCCACAGGCCACAATCAACAGCCTAATCAACTCTATGCGAAGGAGATGTGTCGCAATGCATGAGGCAAATGGTGATCACACCAGAAACTGACTGGTTTTCTGATCCACGTCCCTACCTTTAAAAAAAAAAGGTATATGTGACCAACAGATGCATATCTATATTCCCAGTCATGTGAAATCCATAGATCAGGGCCTAATGAATTTATTTCAATTGACTGATTTCCTTATATGAACTGTAACGCAGTAAAATCTTTGAAACTGTTGAATGTTGCATTTATATTTTTCGGAAAGTATTCAGACGCCATGACTTTTTCCACATTTGGTTACATTACAGCCTTATTCTAAAATTGATTAAATTAAAGTTTTCCCTCATCAATCTACACACAATACCCCATAATGACAAAGTGAAAACAGGTTTTTATAATTTTTTGGCAAAATAAAAAACTGAAATACCTTATTTACATAAGTATTCAAACCCTTTGCTATGAAACTCGAAATTGAGCTCAGGTGCATCATGTTTCCATTGATCAACATTGAGATGTTTCTACAACTTGATTGGAGTCCACCTGTGGTAAATTCATCTGATTGAACATGATTTGGAAAGGCACACACCTGTCTATATAAGGTCCCACAGTTGACAGTGCATGTCAGAGCAAAAACCAAGCCATGAGGTCGAAGGAATTGTCTGTAGAGCTCAGAGAAAGGATTCTGTTGAGGCACAGATCTGGGGAAGGGTACCAAAAAATTTCTGCAGCATTGAAGGTCCCCAAGAACACAGCGGCCTCAATAATTCTTAAATGGAAGAAATTTGGAACCACCAAGACTCTTCCTAGAGCCGGCCGCCCGGCTAAACTGAGCAATCGGGGGAGAAGGGCCTTGGTCAGGGAGGTGACCAAGAATCCAATGGTCACTCTGACAGAGCTCCAGCGTTCGTCTGTGGAGATGGGAGAACCTTCCAGAAGGACAACCTTCTCTGCAGCACTCCACCAATCAGGCCTTTATGGTAGATTGGCCAGACGGAACCACTCCTCAGTAAAAGGCACATGACAGACTGCTTGGAGTTTGCCAAAAGGCATCTAAAGGACTCTCAGACCATGAGAAACAAGATTCTCTAGTCTGATGAAACCAAGATTGAACTCTTTAGCATGAATGCCAAGCGCACGTCTGGAGGAAACCTGGCACCATCCCTATGGTGAAGAATGGTGGTGGCAGCATCATGCTATGGAGATGTTTTTCAGCGGCAGGGACTGGGAGACTAGTCGGGATCGAGGGAAAGATGAACGGAGCAAAATACAGAGAGATCCTTGATGAATACCTAAAGGTTCACCTTCCAACGGGACAATGACCCTAAGCACACAACCAAGACAACGCAGGAGTGGCTTCAGGACAAGTCTCTGAATGTCCTTGAGTGGGCCAGCCAGAGCCCGGACTTGAACCCGATCGAACATCTCTGGAGAGACCTGAAAATAGCTGTGCAGCGATGCTCCCCATCCAACCTGACATAACTTGAGAGGATCTGCAGAGAAGAATAGGAGAAACTCCCCAAATACAGGTGTGCCAAGCTTGTAGCATCATACCCAAGAAGACTCGAGGCTGTAATCACTGCCAAAGGTGCTTCAACAAAGTACTGAATAAAGTGTCTGAATACTTATGTAAATGTGATATTTCAGGTTTTTATTTGTAATAAATTAACAAAAATGTCTAAACCTGTTTTTGCTTTGTCATTATGGGGTATTTTATCTAGATTGATGAGGGCAAAAAACAATTTAATCCATTTGAGAATAAGGCTGTAACATAACAAAATGTGGAAAAAGTCAAGGGGTCTGAATACTTTCCGAATGCACTGTATATCTTTATCTGCTTATATTACACTGTAAGATGCTTGAGAATACATTGCCATTTAAAACAACAACCTGGGGAATAGTTACAGGGGAGAGGAGGGGGGACAAATGGAAGCTGGGGATGATTAGATCGTCATTGTAGCATGAGTTGCGAGGTTGGGAAATTCAGCAAGAATATCATTGTAAGAATACGAGTCAGTCACACTGAGCCAGCCTAACAACATACAATCAGGAGGCAGTTTGAGACCCACCTAGGCGAGATGTCACAGCCCTGTCTCATGAAGGCGCCGAGGGAGAACCAGAGACTGTTGAATATCCCAAACTCGTTGGTAGACTCATTAGTCTGGATCTGGCCATCCTCGTACTCCTCTGTGTGCCACTCGTATGGGCTGAATCGACTGACCAGGAAGAGCACCACGCTCACACCGATGTAGGCAAACACGATACACATCCAGATTTCATAGGCCAGAGGGTCCAGGAAGGAGAAGACCCCAGGTTTTGACTTTTGGGGTTTCTTGATCATGATGGAGATACCCAGTGACATGAAGGGCTTGGAGAAGTCAATTACTTCTTCTCGGACGAGGGTGATGGTCAACGGTGCCACAGCTATATCAGCTTTCTGGGGAGGAGAGGGGGAAAGAGCTTGATGTTATAAAGAGCTAATGTTATTGTTCTAGGGAAACAGGGTGGGCTTTAGTAGTATTTAAAGGGAACTACTGGGGATGTTTGTATACAGCAAGTTATTGGATTTGATCAATATTAGAAGGTCCATGCATCTCTTTTCTTACCCCATAGACAAGCTCTCCCACCATTCCGTTCCAGATCTTGGTCTCAGCGTCTCGGGCTCCGTATTTTCCATCCCCTACAATTTTCAGTTGGTATTTGAAGCCACAGTGCTTGGCTATCTCAGCAGCCAGATCTACACAATAGCCCTCATATCTTTCATTGTCTAAAAAAAGGTCAGCATTCTTCTTGAGCATTACATATGGGGCTTCCTGAGGGTGAAAACCAAAAATACTGCCTTTAGCCTTTACATCATGGTATACATGCTAGCTGTGTACATTTAGAGGCTTTCACTGAAGGAATGAACAGCTCATAAATAGACATAGACTACTATGGGTTTGTTTGTGTATGTACAGTGTCCATATTAGAACCGCCTCAGTGTCACTGTAATACTATAAAAACATGATTCTATGGACTAACAATTGCTAAGTAAGAAACGAATCCAAGGATTTTCAATCCAATTGTTGTGTATTAAAGAGTCAGTTGGTATGAATAGAGTCAATGATAAGTAATTACCAAGATGGTGGTCACAATGACAGTTTTGTTTTCCATTCCTGTTGTGTCATTCGGAAACACGTCTGATTTTGTGACAGCCATTTTGTCAACTTCGTTCCAATATCCAATCTGTGGAGAAAATAATGAATAGTGAATGAACAATTCCATGTCATGAGACGGTAGACAGCGTTGTTGTTTCAGATGAGTGGAAACGTACAGTTATGAATATAACTACTGTTCCCTGATGGCACGAAGGAGGTATAACATGCTATGGGAAGTCAACGACCAATCCTATTCACCTGAAGAAATCTGAAATCACGCACAACAGTCCAATGGAGGCCAAGCCCACCCTTGAAAGCCTCGCCTTCCTGGCTATAATATCGGGGCTTGCATACATTTCCTCAATTCAGTACTGCTCTTCAGAGCCCAAACTCCCTGACGGTGCGAGGCCAAAATATGTTATATCTCGTTCCTCCTTCAGGAAACAGTAGTTATATTCATAACTGTACGTTCCCTTTTAGTCGGTTACTCTGTATAACATTCTATGGGGACGTACAATAACGCCCCAAGCCCGCTCAGAGGGTACCAAACTAGGAGGTCCATGGCAGCCAAAGCACACACAGGTTCCACCGGCTCCAAAAAGGGGTTACAGAAGCCACCTTTATCCCCTAATACTTACCCAACAGGCCTGAATTGTCAGAGCCTCATAAGGCCTGAACTATCAGAGCCCCATATAGGGAACCAGAACTTGCTGCAACTTGGCTGTGAGCACTGCCACGCTGACACTGCAGCCCAAGTCCATAGACCCCACGGTTCCAAGAACAATACTTATCTTGCGAGCCTGAAATGTCCGAACTCGTACAAGGAACCGCAAGTCCATAATAACAGAACACCTGTCATTACTTGGTAAAGTGCAGATACTCACTGCATAGCATTGACCAGAGTCAATGAACCACGGTAGCCCAAGGCTCAAAGCCACAGGGAACTGCCTAACATCGACCCCAATGGCCCAAGCCCATTCCAGTTCCAAAAAGGCTTGCACAGAGACCCAAGGAGTCTGGAATGCCAGAACTCACACAAGGAACCGCAATTCAAAAACAACAGGGCACCTGCTGTGTCTTGGTAATGCGCGTTTGCGCACAGCCCCATCAATGAACCATGGCAGTCCAAGGGTCAAACCCACAGGGAAACTGTGGTAACCCGAATAAATGCGCAACCTGCACACTGCCTAGCACCCGGTTCCTGACCCTGCCATAAGAAACTCAGGAATTGGGTGTTGCATAACTTTGTTAATTAAATCAATATTTGTAAACTCAGGTTCCCTTCATCACACGCTGACTGTATAGTCGTAATCACGTTCAAGGGTAAACCCCTAGTCGTCAAATTCAACATTTCAGGGGCCAATCCCACAGTTCCATATCTCCGGCCGTGGGTGCTAAATTGCCCTGTGCGCCTGGGACAATAGATCCCGACGACACAGAACCCTCCAGGGGGTCCCCGCCCAACAGGCGGATGATCTCCAGGAACCAGGTTTGTCTGGTCCAACGGGGTGCCACCAGAATCAACAACAGACCCTCCTGATGGACCCTCTCCATGGTGGCCTGAATCCGGTCCACCAGAGGAACACATAGAGCAGGTTCCAAGACCAATGATAGGCCAAAGCATCCGTTCCTGACGGAGCACGCAGATCCCTCATTGAGAAGAACAGACGACAATGCATGTTTTCTTGCGATGCGTAAGATCTACATCGGCCCTGCCGAACCAGTCCCATATCTGGGCCACCACTCCGTAGAGATAGGCCCCCCCTGGAAAGTAGATCTGCAACCACGTTGAGAGATCCGGGAAGATACTTCGCCCTGAGCGACAATACATTCTTACTGCTCTATACAAGCAGATAACGGGCCAGGTTTAGGATAGAGACCAAATGGAATCATGTGGGAACCAAAAAAGTGTTAAACAAATCAAAATATATTTTATATTTGAGATTCTTCAAAGTAGCCACCCTTTGCCTTGATGACAGCCTTGCACACTCTTGACATTCTCTCAACCAGCTTCATGAGGTAGTCACCTGGAATGCATTTCAATTAACAGGTGTCTCTTGTTAAAAGTGAATTTGTGGAATTCCTTTCCTTCTTAATGCATTTGAGCCAATCAGTTGTGTTGTGATAAGGTAGGGGTGGTATACAGAAGATAGCCCTATTTGATAAAAGACCAAGTCCATATTATGACAAGAACAACTCAAATAAGCAAAGAGAAACGGCAGTCCATCATTACTTTAAGACATGGAGGTCAGTCAATACTGGGTAATGTCACCCGACCTCAACCCAATTGAGTTGGTTTGGGATGAGTTGGACCGCAGAGTGAAGGAAAAGAAGCCAACAAGTGCTCAGCATATGTGGGAACTCCTTCAAGACTGTTGGAAAAGCATTCCAGTTGAAGCTGGTTGAGAGAATGCCAAGAGTGTGCAAAGCTGCCATCAAGGCAAAGGGTGGCTACTTTGAAGAATCTCAAATATAAAATATATTTTTGTTTAACACTTTTTTGGTAACTACATGATTCCATATGTGTTATTTCATAGTTTTGATGTCTTCACTATTATTCTACAATGTAGAAAATAGTAAAAATAAAGAAAAACCCTTGAATGAGTAGGTGTGTCCAACCTTTTGACTGGTACTGTATATAGATAAATAAAATCATGGTGTAAAAGACAACTGTCTGATTAGCGCCTGCCTGAGTGGACTAATCCATTGTTGAGGCCGTGGGGATGGCACATTCCATCACTTGAGGACATGTGCTACTGAAATTGTATATGGTTATATTACGTATGTAAAATGGTGCAACACTAATAAAAATAAAACTATTTTATAACAGATGCGCTTTTTTCCCGCGTTGGATAGCAGTCGCTGTCCGCGGTTCTGAAACATATCAGTGCGCTGTTGAATTGGCGTCTTTTCCTAGACCATGTTTCTAGGTGCATAATAGCAAAGTTAACCAGCATATTGGTATTGAGAACAATGTGGTGGAGGCAGCAGCGGAGTTAGGAGATGAGAAAACAGTCCTTTCCTTAATGGTCTAAGAAAAGTGAGGACAGAGGAAACCAACTTAATTAGGTCTATAATCAATAGCCTAACTGTTAAATGTGCCTGGCTTTATAAATCATCCATATACATCTACAGAAATAAAACAGATCCTGCTTCTGTTGCCTGTTTGAGTGTTTGTTTAATAGCCTACTGATTCCGTGAGCACCAAGCCTCTGTGAGCACCAACCCCAACATGTCGGATAAACAATTTCACAAATGTGGCTGTTTTTAATCTTTGCTATGGTGTAATAAAGGCCTTACACTTTTTTTTCATTAGAACAGCCTCTCTGGTATTATTTATAATTTATTTAGTGTGGTTTACACTGTTCCAAATTTCCAGAAAAACTATAGTTATAATAATATTATTAATAATAATAATAATAACCCTCCTTTTTCTTTTTCTCCTTATTGTTATTATTACTATTATTGTTAAAATCATCATTATTATAATAATAAGTAATGTCATTATCATTAGTAGGCTTAGTATAGCAGCCTTGTATAACCACCATCGAGCTGTAGGCCTAAGTCAGCATCTTGTTTAGTCTTAATACCGTAACTTACTTAGGCTTATATTTCAATACTTATATAAGCTACAGTACTGTATGAATCAATCATTCATTCGTTCATGTCATCACACAGCATTCGAGTCATTCATGATTTGAAATGCAATCAAGCATTTTAGTTTTAAAATAAAATAACGTGACCCTTGAATAATTAGCGTACACAATAAATAAACCGTTCCATTTTGGAAATTGCATTCATGAATGAATGCGACTGGTTTTGGTCTTTGCTGTAATAAAGGCTTTACAAAAAATAGAAATAATAATTACAGACTCTTTAGTACGCTTATAATTGATTTAGTATTGTTTACATTGTTCCAAACGGTTAGAGAAATTATATTGTAATCTAACAGCACCTGTTTGGCACACATAATTTGCACCCAGCGCTTGCTCCTTACCTTCTTTTTCTTGATCTCCAGTATTTTTCACAACTAGTCAAATGTATTCCACACGTCTGACTTCCCCTTTACCTCCTGAGTAACCAGTAAACATTCCCCCATTTTGAGTTTATTTGTCACGTCCTCTGCATCTATTCAGCAACAAGGACAGCGCGATAAACACTGTTGATGTTCTGTGGTGGTCACTGCAGCAGGGAGGAGAGGGAGACAATTGGTGCTAGTCACACAGTCATTCGCTGTCATTTCTTTTAACACAGTGCAGCAAGTCTGAGCCCGGCCCGGCCCGGCACAATCAAATCATTTGTGGTCGGACTCCCTTTAGTCATTTGTGTGTCTTAATTATTTAATCAAACAGTGCACTTAAAGCATCAGACAAGCTCACTGCATATAGTTGATTTGATTAAAACATATAGGATGTGTCTATATATGGAAAAATACACGTTTGAACATTTCGACCAATCCATTTTTTTTCTTTTTTGTCAGGGACAGCCCTAGGGCACAGTCGGAGGTTCAAACTCAGCTGGTTAGCCTTTTTTAACTTACTCTTACCACTAACCATCTTACTCAAGTAAGGAAGCACTGGCTATACAAGCAGAGCAGAAAGTAGTGGATTTTTAGCAAACACAAATCCTACCCAAGCAAGGAAGCATTAGCTGGACAAGAAGAGCAGAAAGTAGTTTGATTTTAGCAAACACAAAACCGATACCAAGACCGATAACCCGCAACATCTAGGGGGACGAGTACTCTCTCCCCACTAACAGACACCTAAGTTGGATCAGAATCTCGTAGCCTATGTGTGCTTGAAAAGTTAGTAAATTGCGTGACAGGTTCTTCCTTCAGGCGAGCTGAAGAGTGAAGAATTTAGGAAATGAATGTGAGCCCCGGTATTATAGCCAAGAAGGCGGGGCTTCCAAGGGTGGGCTCGGCATCCATTGGCCAGTTGGGCGTGATTTCAGTTTGCTTCAGGTGAATAGGATTGGTTGTTTACTTCCCATAGTATGTTATACCAAATGAACAACTGATAAAGAACTGACTGAAGCATCTACACAGCAACATGTTAAGAATTCTCTCTCATTTCTTCTTGTTTTTTCTTGGTTCAGTGCTGATGTGCTGTTGTCTTGTTCCATCGCAGACCAACACATTTAAGACTGTCTGATATATTATGCAACCTTGATCTATTGAGATTTTGAGACATGTTCTAGCGATATTCATATTCAGAAACACTAGCATACCTTCACAGGACCATTATTCTTCAGCTCCATGATGTTAACTGAGTAATTTACTCGTTTGCCATATTGATCGAACTGAATATTCCCTGTGAGGCCATCCACACGAACCTAAAAGGACACAAAAGCACAGCGGCAGAATGGCAAGACGCCACCATTAAATACCTCATTCATAGACCAATTTACTTTTTCCACACAGATCTGGATTCACATTGCCTCGTCTAAGCTCTGAAGCTGGATGCTCAGGGTAGAAATCCCAAAAGTGTGTGGGAAGACTATTGTCATTGCTAGCTCAGGGGAGAATGTGTGTGTATGTTTTTGTGCGTCCTTACACTTCAGTCTCTGTGTGAGTGTGTGTGTGTATGTGGTATTGCCAGCCAGCCGTTGCCACGGCAACCCCATGCTGTCACCTGTTTGAGCGCTCGTTCAATCTCCACTCCCTGCGCCCAGGGCACAGCGGGGTTGGCCAGACAATCGCCGTTGTTGCCCTTTCTGGCGATGTCAATGCGCTGCTTGTGCAGGTAGCGGAAGGCCTCCGTCATCACCTGCACCGCGTCGTAGGTCAACGCAGATGTGTACTGCAATAGAACAGAAGGGGAAGGGTGTGTAAGTGTGTGGGGGATAAATGGGGACACAAGGGAGGGGGAGGAAGAGGTGGTGTGTGTCTGAGAGGGGTTGTGAGGACGTTAGTGTGCAAGTGGCTGTGTGTCTGGGTGTGTGCACGCACAGTATGTGTGAGCGAGAATAAGGGCAAAACATTTTTAAGCTGCAAACACTTCACAGCTCCCAGGGATGGAGAGATGCTAACTGAGTGCCTCTCAACCAACTAAACCCCCATGTGGATTTATACTTACCCTAATCTTACTGTCGGCACCAGGGTACTCCTTCTCCTCCAGAGCCTCCCACCTCTGGTCAAATTTGGAAACCAACGGGTCATCGAAATCCACAATCTGGAAACCTGAGACGTTGGCTCCTCCATATTGGATTTTGGAGAGGTCTCCATCAACGAAACCCTGAAATTAAAACAAGGAAATCCAAGCACAGACATGAAATGGAAATGTTTGCCATCATACAAATGTCAGCTGAAAGACAAAACAGGAAGGGAATTATTACTCAAAACTAACTAATTGGGCAATACATAAGGGATTCAATTGGAAGACAATAACTATGGCTTCTCAATGTCTCATCACTATGCATTTAGCTTAATAAATTATTTACAAGTCACTATGTTCTCCCTGAGATTCCAATTCCACCGCTGAGGTGTGAAATCTTACCAAATTTGCAATGATGTAGTGGTAGCCTTTCACATGTCTGCCAATGGTGATAACCTGGGGGCAAGATCAGATAGGTAAACAGAACAGATCATATATGAAACCCTAATGACATGGAAACCAAACAAGACAGTCTCCAAGTAATCATATTCCGCATGCTACAGCAGTCATGAGTGTTATTCTTATTGGCTTTATTTACAGTCACGAAAAACTGCCACCTGCCAGTGCTAGCACTTGTCAGTAACGAACCAAAACAGGAAGCCCATTTCAATAACTACCTCAAAAGCCATTTCACTAACTACCTCAAATGACACACCTGCAGCTAATCCCACCACATGAGTGACACCTCCACTTAGAAAGCCAGTTACATAAAGAGATTTAAATAATCATTTGAATAAAAATGTATTGTCCGTGACTTCCTTTGGCATAAAACTGTGCCCGGGTTTGATTATGTTTCTCTCAGATAAAACCTTTAGCATGCAGCAGCGAGGGGAATACGCATTGATTTCAGCATTTGGTTAAACACACGTCTACTTGCCTTAAAAACTCATTGATATACTCTCACACGGGCTAGGGATGATTTATACATAACCAGTTTATGTGAATCTCTGTGGCCTTTTGTTGCAGTCTAATTTAACGATTAGGGGGATTGTTGAAAGGCCTCAGTCCACTTGGGGGGGGGGGTAGGTGTGAATTGTTTGCAGGCAAGGATGACACTCACCCACACATAGGGAGTTAGACACAAACACACACCAACAAAATCTCAATTGCTGCATTACACACACTCATCATTGCCGTCATCATCAGCTCAGTCATAGTAGAATAGCTGTTCAATATAACACTGCTCTAACATCAGGTCCAGCATAAAGTACCAGAGGACTGAGCTTTTACGTTTACCTGTTCCATAATGTCTTTGACTTTGTCCTGTTCACAGTCCAGGATGACCCGTCTCTCCTTCTTGTTCTCCAGGTCCTGGAAGAGGGAGCGGTAGGCCTCGTCTTTCCTCTCGTCCTTCAGGTTGCCCACGTTGATGGCTGTCACATGCCACTTCCTTTCTGCAGCTGTGTCCAGCACCACCTGCAGTGTGGTCAGACCTGGACAGACAAGAAGGTCATGTTCATTAGGCGCAAAACGGACAAAACTATTCTGAAACCGAGTGAAACGAGGAGGCACAATCTGAACATCTCCAATAAGATATGCTTGTTTGTGTTTTCGGTCGCAAAACGTTTTACTGTGATGTGTTCTAATGAACCTGACCCAGGATAGTAAACACTTCAGATTTGCCATAGTACATCTGAGAATACAGATCCTTATAGGGTTTTAGATTCATGCAAATAGATACGGTGCCTTCGGAAAGTATTCAGACCCTTTGACTTTTTCCACATTTTGTTACATTACAGCCTGATTCTAAAATGTATTCAAATTTGCTTCAGGTGCCTTTTGGCAAACTCCAAGTGGTCTGTCATGTGCCTTTTACTGAGGAGTGGCTTCTGTCTGGCCACTCTACCATAAAGGCCTGATTGGTGCAGTGCTGCAGAGATGGTTGTCCTACTGGAAGGTTCTCCCATCTCCACAGAGGAACCCTGCAGCTCTGTTAGAGTGACCATCGGGTTCTTGGTCACCTCCCTGACCAAGGCCCTTCTCCACCGACTGCTCAGTTTGGCCAGGCGGCCAGCTCAAGGAAGAGTCTTGGTCGTTCCAAACTTCTTCCATTAAAGATTGATGGAGGCCACTGTGTTCTTCAATCAAGTTGTAGAAACATCTTAAGGATGATCAATGGAAACAGGATGCACCTAAGCTCAATTTCGAATCTCATAGCAAAGGGTATGAATACTTATGTAAAAACCTGTTTTCGCTTTGTCATTAAGGGGGATTGTGTGTAGATTGATGTGATATATATATATATATATATATATATATACAGTTGAAGTCGTAAGTTTACATACACTTAGGTTGGAGTCATTAAAACTAGTTTTTCAACCACTCCACAAATGTCTTGTTAACAAACTATAGTTTTGCCAAGTCGGTTAGAACATCTACTTTGTGCATGACACAAGTAATTTTTCCAACAATTGTTTACAGACAGATTATTTCACTTATAATTTACTGTATCACAATTCCAGTGGGTCAGAAGTTTACATACACTAAGTTGACTGTGCCTTTAAACAGCTTGGGAAATTCATGTCATGTCATGGCTTTAGAAGCTTCTGATAGGCTAATTGACATCATTTGAGTCAATTGGAGGTGTACCTGTGGATGTATTTCAAGGCCTACCTTCAAACTCAGTGCCTCTTTGCTTGACATCATGGAAAAATCAAAAGAAATCAGCCAAATAATTGTAGACCTCCACAAGTCTGGTTCATCCTTGGGAGCAATTTCCAAACGCCTGAAGGTACTACGTTCAGCTGTACAAACAATAGTATGCAAGTATAAACACCATGGGACCACGCCGCCGTCATACCGCTCAGGAAGGAGACGTGTTCTGTCTCCTAGAGATGAACATAGTTTGGTGTGAGAAGTGCAAATCAATCCCAGAACAACAGCAAAGGACCTTGTGAAGATGCTGGAGGAAACAGGTACAAAAGTATCTATATCCACAGTAAAACAAGTCCTATATCGACATAACCTGAAAGGCCGCTCAGCAAGGAAGAAGGCACTGCCCCATAACCTGCATAATAAAGCCAGACTACGGTTTGCAACTGCACATGGGTACAAAGATCGTACTTTATGGAGAAATGTCCTCTGGTCTGATGAAACCAAAATATAACTGTTTGGCCATAATGACCATCGTTATGTTTGGAGGAAAAAGGGGGTACCTTGCAAGCTGAAGAACACAATCCCAACTGTGAAGCACGGGGGTGGCAGCATCATGCTGTGGGGGTGCTTTGCTGCAGGAGGGACTGGTGCACTTCACAAAATAGATGGCATCATGAGGAAGGAAAATTATGTGGATATATTGAAGCAACATCTCAAGACATCAGTCAGGAAGTTAAAGCTTGGTCGCAAATGGGTCTTCCAAATGGACAATGACCCCAAGCATACTTCCAAAGTTGTGGCAAAATGGCTTAAGGACAACAAAGTCAAGGTATTGACTTCAACTATATATATATATATATATATATATATATATATATATATATATATATATATATATATATATATATATATATATATATATATATATATATATATATATAGTACTTATACAGTACTTATAGGTCAAATATTGGGTAAATAATGATGGTGTGTCCCCTTTTGTTTTACATATTTGCAACTCCACTGTCTTCATACTTTCACTGTTTTTACACCTTAGGGTATCAATGTCCTTATTTCTCCTCAAACCCTGGCCTATATTGATCTTTGTAATGGACACAGATCATCCAATACCATATCTCCATGTAACATACTTTAAGTGAAGTTGAAACACCATACCATACTGGTAATCAACATTTCTGTGAAAAATATTCCTATCATTCCAAATCGTCACAGCCTTGTATGCCATCACCAACCAAGAAAAACAATAGACCAATGGAGTTTCTCCTTCATGTTCCATTTCCCAAACAGTTTGGGCACGTCTAGCTGAGCAGATGTCCCATGGAGCCTCCCTCCATGATGGGTAGCGGGTGGCTGACAGGCGGGCTGTGGAGACAGCTAGCACCCTTGGAGAGAAGGGGGATGAGACTGAATGACATTCAAAGGCTGTCAGAGAAGCTGTCTTTCAACCACAAAACATACAAACACGTCCAGAACCTCTCTCTAGAGTCTAGACTAATTCAATATTCAATCCATTGTAAATAGAGGGAACCACACTGTGAGTTCAGTCAGAATATAAAATGCTGTATTCAAGGTGTGCACCTATACGTGCAGTACCTCTCTCTCTAAACTAAAGCTCCAATTCAATCAATTGCAGATAGAGGTAAAGTGCACTGCGGGTTCATTTAGAATGTTACAGTAATTCTGTATCGGAGGTGTTAACCTTACAGTGAGGGAAAAAAGTATTTGATCCCCTGCTGATTTTGTACGTTTGCCCACTGACAAAGAAATGATCAGTCCATAATTTTAATGGTAGGTTTATTTGAACAGTAAGAGACAGAATAACAACAAAGAATTCCAGAAAAACGCATGTCAAAAATGTTATAAATTGATTTGCATTTTAATGAGGAAAATAAGTATTTGACCCCCTCTCAATCAGAAAGATTTCTGGCTCCCAGGTGTCTTTTATACAGGTAACAAGCTGAGATTAGGAGAACACTCTTAAAGGGAGTGCTCCTAATCTCAGCTTGTTACCTGTATAAAAGACAACTGTCCACAGAAGCAATCAATCAGATTCCAAACTCTCCACCATGGCCAAGACCAAAGAGCTCTCCAAGGATGTCAGGGACAAGATTGTAGACCTACACAAGGCTGGAATGGGCTACAAGACCATCGCCAAGCAGATTGGTGAGAAGGTGACAACAGTTGGTGCGATTATTCGCAAATGGAAGAAACACAAAATAACTGTCAATCTCCCTCGGCCTGGGGCTCCATGCAAGATCTCACCTCGTGGAGTTGCAATGATCATGAGAACGGTGAGGAATCAGCCCAGAACTACATGGAAGGATCTTGTGAATGATCTCAAGGCAGCTGGGACCATAGTCACCAAGAAAACAATTGGTAACACACTACGCCGTGAAGGACTGAAATCCTGCAGTGCCCGCAAGGTCCCCCTGCTCAAGAAAGAACATATACAGGGCCGTCTGAAGTTTGCCAATGAACGTCTGAATGATTCAAAGGAGAACTGGGTGGAAGTGTTGTGGTCAGATGAGACCAAAATCGAGCTCTTTGGTATCAACTCAACTCGCCGTGTTTGGAGGAGGAGGAATACTGCCTATGACCCAAAGAACACCATCCCCACCGTCAAACATGGAGGTGGAAACATTATGCTTTGGGGGTGTTTTTCTGCTAAGGGGACAGGACAACTTCACCGCATCAAAGGGACGATGGACAGGGCCATGTACCGTCAAATCTTGGGTGAGAACCTCCTTCCCTCAGCCAGGGCATTGAAAATGGGTCGTGGATGGGTATTCCAGCATGGCAATGACCCAAAACTCACGGCCAAGGCAACAAAGGAGTGGCTCAAGAAGAAGAACATTAAGGTCCTGGAGTGGCCTAGCCAGTCTCCAGACCTTAATCCCATAGAAAATCTGTGGAGGGAGCTGAAGGTTCGAGTTGCCAAACGTCAGCCTCGAAACCTTAATGACTTGGAGAAGATCTGCAAAGAGGAGTGGAACAAAATCCCTCCTGAGATGTGTGCAAACCTGGTGGCCAACTACAAGAAACGTCTGACCTCTGTGATTGCCAACAAGGGTTTTGCCACCAAGTACTAAGTCATGTTTTGCAGAGGGGTCTATCATATAACATCCATTTGAACAATTATGAAAAGGGTTTCACAAAACAAGACAGCTAACCTTAATTTAAACCTATGAAAAAGGGTGGGTTAATGCCCCAGGCAACCATAGGGAGATGGGAAACAAAATCTACAATGACAAAGCCATGGCTTCGCAAAACACTGCCCAAGACCGAGTTTCAGAAACCCTGCACTACACGATCAAAAGTATGTGGACATCTGCTCGTCGAACATCTCATTACAAAAATCATGGGCATTAATATGGAGTTGGTCCCCCTTTGCTGCTATAACAGCCTCCACTCTTCTGGAAAGGCTTTCCACTATATGTTGGAACATTGCTGCGGGGACTTCCTTCCATTTAGCCCCAACAGCATTAGTGAGGTCGGTACTGATGTTGGGCGATTAGGCCTGGCTCGCAGTTGGCGTTCCAATTCATCCCTAAGGTGGTCGATGGGGTTGAGGTCAGGGCTCTGTGCAGGCCAGTCAAGTTCTTCCACACCGATCTTGACAAACCATTTCTGTATGGACCTCGCTTTGTGCCCGGGGGAATTGTCATGCTGAAACAGGAAAGGGCCTTCCCCAAACTGTTGCCACAAAGTTAGAAGCACAGAATCATCTAGAATGTCATTGTATGCTGTAGCGTTAAGATTTCCCTTCTCTGGAACTAAGGGGCCTAGCCTGAACCATGAAAAACAGCCCCAGACCATTATTCCTTCTCCACCAAACTTTACAGTTGGTACTATACATTGGGGCAGGTAGCGTTCTCCTGGAATCCCCCAAACCCAGATTCATCCGTCGTACTGCCAGATGGTAAAGCGTGATTCATCACTCCAGAGAACGCGTTTCCACTGCTCCAGAGACCAATGGCAGCGAGCTTTACATCACTCCAGCCGGCGGTGGGCATTGCGCATGGTGATCTTAGGCTTGTGTGCGGCTGATCGGCCATGGAAACCCATTTCATGACTCTCCCGACGAACAGTTCATGTGCTTACGTTGCTTCCAGAGGCAGTTTGGAACTTGGTAGTGAGTGTTCCAACAGAGGACAGATGATTTTTAAGCGCTATGCGCTTCAGCACTCGGCGGTCCCGTTCTGTGAGCTTGTGTGACCTACCACTTCGCGGCTGAGCCGTTGTTGCTCCTAGACGTTTCACCTTCACAATAACAGCACTTACTGTTGACCAGGGCAGCTCTAGCAGGGCAGAAATGTCATGAACTGCGTTGTTGGAAAGGTGGCATCCTATGACGGTGCCACGTTAAAAGTCACTGTGCACTTCAGTAAGGCCATTCTACTGCCAATGTTTGTCTATGGAGATTGCATGGCTTTGTGATCGGTTTTATACACCTGTCAGCAACAGGTGTGCCTGAAATAGCCGAATCCACTAATTTGAAGGGGTGTCCACATACTTTTGTATATATAGTGTATGGACAGTCACTCTGGGGACGACGTCGTCAATGCACTTATTAATTTAGCCGGTGACTGATGTAGTAAACTCCTCAATGCCATTGGATGAATCCCGGAACATATTCCAGTATCTGCTAGCAAAATTGGATATGTATAGGCAATAAGGTACTGTTCTTGCTTCACCTTTGCCTTTTGAAAGGCTTGATGCAATTTCCGCCAAATTGCTTGCGCCTATCCAACCCCTTCAGATCTATAGGAGTGTCTAGGGAGGATGGGCTAGGGGTCAGTTTGGAACTCAGGGAAAAGTCTTAAGCATTCTTTAAAGAGCAGCTGAACCAGAAAAACAATGTATCTGGTTGAAAACAGCCTGTTGCATTGTTATGCATCAGAAACATACATTTGTGTAAAATGTACTAAGCATCACACGAGACAAGTTGTCCCCATCCCTCCCGTAAATGTGCAACTTTTGCCTATTTTTGGTTGTATGAGTCAGGGAAATGCTGTAAATTAAGAGGACTCGATGTATTTGGAAAGATGAGATGTTACGGATTATAATAAATACCACTTTGATGTCATACAAGCAAGCCGTGACTCCAAATGTACACTTCACATTTCCATATCATAAAACTCATGTCATATCAGTGTCAACATTTATGATCACTATGTTGATCACTATGTTCATACCCATGGTTGTTGTGAGCAGAATTAGCCTATGTTTATCTATTTTGAAAAAAATTAGCTGCAGAACACACACATGAATGTACTCATGACTCCTTTCTATGAGCACCAAACATACAATCTGTTTAGCTGAATTGCCTTCCGAAAGCCTAACACTGTAAGATCGTACTTTATAAATTAGCTAGTCATGTTGACAATAGAACAAGATTTCAAATGATGCCCACCTGACCCAGATTGCGATTTATAAATGATCCGTTTTTGGATTGTGTAAACAAAAACAGTAATTGTGGGATGGAGGGGATGCAGGGTTGAGTTCCAAACAAAACAACTACAAGTGTGCTTGCTCTAGTTCCTCAGCTGCATAGCTAGGGGAGCAAAAAATAATAATAATTATAGACGAAGACTCTTCTTTGAGTCATAAAAGTTCATTGAAATTTCTTAGGAACTGTGCACACTTTAGAGAGGTGTGTTTGGCCATTTGGAGACACCAGTTAGTCCTCTCACTCAAACCCTTGTCATTTTTTTGGTCTTATGTTACACCTACCCCACATTCTCCAGGAATATTCTTATCATGTTACTGAATGTATCCAGAGTATTTTCTGATTTCATTATCAACAAATGCAGTGAAAACTACAGTAAAGGTAAAATGCACATAAAATCAACAATGTAATGTTTTGATTCAGTCTTATGTCAGGTGAACTGTTGTGTCTCAACTTTGGTCTAATTATCTGTTCCCTTTCAGTTGCTAGCATGTTTATGGATATGCTTTTCATAATTATTTTGTAAGAAACATTTAAATTTAGCCCTATCCATATAGGCCAATTCCCACAAGTGTAAAGGGTTAACGAGCAGCAGTAAACACATGCGGAATCGATGCATTTAGCCCCCGGCTACCGCTTTTCTCAATTCGATAATTAGCTAGGTACTCACCTTGAGCGTAACACTGATGTATCCGGTACAAACTCTTCCTGGTATGAAGCATGAGACAGTAATAGTTTGACTGACTGCATTATGTCGCTTGTGTGACTGTCAAGATCATTAACTTAATGTACTATTTTAGTAGCATCTCCTCAGTACCTTAGCAAAATGGCATTGGGAGCACTTCTCATTTTTATTTAACCCTTATTTTCCCAGGCGACTGGGAACACATTATCTAAAGCAACATAAACCTGGAGAAGAGTTGCAATGGAGACCTATAGTAAAAAAAAAATAACAATGATATTAACAATGATAACAATGATGACATATGGTTATTTACTTAACCCTCACTGCTCTTCCTTAAAACACACACACGCCAATTCACACACACCAACGAGCCACCACACCAGTGAACGCACTGCACAATCGGTTGCCATGGGTATGTGAGTGTGGATCTATCTGACCTAATTAGACATAGCAATGTGATGATGAAATATGCACAGTGAGCCAGAGAGGGCTCTTCAACCAGGGACTGAAGCATTATAGGATTAGCATTCCCAATAAAACATGCTGTTAAACTTGTTTTCTGTAGCCAACACTAGCACAACATTGTACTACAACTAGCACTGTATAATCAGCATCTTGATTCCCACATATAACATGTGCTAATTGGACCTTCTGAGACCATGGAGTTTCTCTTGAGTCGTATAATATAGTCAGTGCTAGCACACATTCCAACTAACAATGTAGCATTAGCATTCGTATTCCCAGGTGCTAATTGGACCTTCTGAGACCATGGTTATGGTCAACCCTATTCAATGTAGTTAATGCTAGCACACACTCCACTGTAACTAGCATTGTAGCAATATCATCCTCATTCTTCATAGCGTATTCTACCGGAACGTCTATGGCTATGGAGATTCTATGGCTATGGAGATTCTCTTGAATGTAGTCAATGCTAGCACACATTCCACTACAGCTGGCATTGTAGCATTAGCATAACATGCTATTGGACCTTCTGTGGACATGGATATTCATTAGCCCTATTCAATGAAGTCAACACTAGCACACATTACACTCCAACTAAAGGGAAAGGGGGATACCTAGTCAGTTGTACAACTGAATGCATTCAACTGAAATATGTCTTCTGCATTTAACCCAACCCCTCTGAATTAGCAGGGGGCTGCCTTAATTGATATCCACGTCATCAGCGCACGGGAAACATGAGTATCCTTATTCTCAATCGCATAATGCTAATTGGACCGTCTGTGGCCATCGAGATTTGTGAGCCCTGTTCAATGTAGTCGATACAATGCACATTCCACTACAGCTAGCATTGTAGCATAACATAACATATGCTATTGGACTTTCAATTACCACAGAGATTCATGGGCCCTGTTCAGTGCATCTACTAGCTTTAGTAGCTGAAACTACTAGCTGCACCTTCCACTTCCTTCCAGCCTGACTCTAATAGAAACCAGTGTTGCCAACTCCTCAGTAAGGAAAGTAGCTATTGGCTGTCCTAAAAGTCGCTAAAATGACGTCATCACCTAACTTGGTCATGTGCATGTAATAACGTCGTGGGAGAGACAAAAAGTGAGTAAAAAACACCCTACATTTACATGTATGTAAGCCAGGGCAGGATCAGCCAGCGGCGGCATCCCGCATGCGCAATTCATTTGCAGTCTGGACGCGGAGGGGTGAACATCTCCTGCTCTGACTGCAGCTGGGAGGGACTGCTGCGCGAGGACTGGGCCGTCTGTGAGTGCTTTGGGACGGGGGTGGGGCCCACGGCCCATGGCAGCACCCGCTGCTCATTGAGAAGAGTAAGAACGATACGTGATTTCACGTCAGAGTCTCCAAAAGTCTCCAATAACACCAGAAAAAGTAGCTGGATTTGTCGCTAGTCGCTTTTTGGAAAATGTGTCGCTAGAGGGGTCTGAAAACTTGCTAAATATATTGACAAAGTCACTAAGTTGGCAACTCTGATAGAAACTCATGCTGACCATTGATGAGGAAAACACCCCCACTAGCAGAGACACTCTCCGCCTAAAGCTTACCATACGCTTCCCAGTCGAAACAGTTGTGCGCATACTGTATATTAAGATGACATTTTGTGACGTTTGTGTTTGTATTGTTGTTTGGCAGCGTTCAGCAGTTTTTTTTCCGGCTGTTCAAGCACAGAACATGTTTTCTTGAGTCTAGTCGAAGTTCGGTAGCCGAAATCTACGCCCTTTCATCTGTGATTGGTCAACAGGGATTCTTCAATTAAATGTTTGTCACTCAAAGACAGACGACTACTTTTCATGCCAATTTCTTCACTTCACTGCACCAACATCTTAGTTAGATGTAAAATTGCCCAACTAAAACCTTCGACAGAAACATCAAAATTAATTACGGATTTCTTGAGTCATCTTAGATTAATTCTGACTATTTTGAGGAAGTGTACTGACTTACGACTTCTCCAGAGGGACAAACAGTAATATTGCTTTTTGTCTAATTTTTCAAGCAAAGGTATTTTAAGGGAGTATGCGAGCACAGATGTTCACTTCGCCTTGCCGAGTTCAGCTAGGAGCAAACCAAACCTATGTATGCGAACACCTTAAGAGGATCATTTTACATTTACATTTTTAGTATACGCTCTTATCCAGAGCGACTTACAGTTATTGAGTGCATACATTTATTTTTATTTTTTTCATACTGGCCCCCTGTGGGAATCGAACCCACAACCCTGGCGTTGCAAACGCCATGCTCTACCAACTGAGCTACATCCCTGCCGGCCATTCCCTCTCCTACCCTGGACGACGCTGGGCCAATTGTGCGCCGCCCCATGGGTCTCCCGGTCACGGCCGGCTACGACAGAGCCTGGATTCGAACCAGGATCTCTAGTGGCACAGCTAGCACTGTGATGCAGTGCCTTAGACCACTGCGCCACTCGGGAGGAGGATCCATGTGAGAAAGAGCGAGAGAGAGAATATTAAATCATGAAATGAAGGGGGATGAAACATAGTATAGGGAGAGGGGGAGGTGAATGAAATAAATGTAGAAATACAGAAGAGCCTGTATTAGCCAGTGGCACTAGGTAAGGGACAATCAACAAGGGGCTATGCGTTCTTTGGAAAATAATGAACGACATGGAAGGTGTGAACTGACCTTCCACGGAGTTGCATTATTTTCCAGAGAATGCATAGAGCCCCGAGTTGATTATCCCTTTTATACCATGGCTGTAATTTAACACATTTGCCAGTATAAATGTGTTCAACATCCACTGAAGTAGCTAGCAAGTTTACTAGATAGCTACAGTAGTTGTCATGGTAACCAAACAAACAGACTTGCTAGTTTAGCTAATCAAACCATCAGTCATAGCTTACCATTATGAAAATCAAATTCAACAATGCCAATAATGTTTTCATTTCGACTTTTGCTTTCAAAAGCAGCTCAAACATAGAACATATAAGAATGAACTATAGCCATTGAATTCTGCCATGCAAATATACTGTGAGTTACAGGGAAATAATGCACGCTCTAAAATGCCTTCAAGCAAATCAGAAACAAGGATTCAACAATGCCATGGTGTAATACCCTATAAAGTATCCCTTCCACATACAGCGGTAATAATCCCACTTTTTATCTTTATTAGGTCAGTCTTCCATTCTACTGTGTGACTATGGCAAGCCTGCCTTTAGATTTTATCATCAGGTATTATCAATTTACAGTACTGCTATCCTAAATCACTCTCATTTAGACACATTGGAAATGAAGACTAATAACATAATGTAATGAAACGTTTATCTTATTTTGCCTTTCAACTATTCTTATGCAAGCCCAATAATATTATGCACATTACTCTTTAGCCTCGCAAGCCACCCTGATCTCACGATCTGTGCAGGAACAATTAATGTAAGCTTGCGAGATCAGAGTGGCTTGCGAGGCTAATTACTCTTTCCCCTGGTACTGAAATTAGACTATGGAACTCTTTGTTCTAGACCTTGTAATCTTGCTCTCAGGACAGTCACATGAAATATAATTCCTTTTGGGGAAGTCTACACTCTTTAAAAAAAGGGTTCCAAAAGGGTTCTGTGGCTATCCCCATAGGATAACCCTTTTTTAATCCAGATAGAACCCTTTTTGGTTCCAGGTATAACTATTTTGGAAAGGGTTCTACATGGAACCCAAAATTGTTCTACCTGGAACCAAAAGGGGTTCTTCAAAGGGTTCTCCTATGGGGACAGCCGAAGAACCCTTTTTGGTTCTAGATAGCACCTTTATTTCTAAGAGTGTAGGCCTGTGTCCTTTTCAAAGTAGTGTCATACGAAGTGGTGTCATCACAACGGGTAAATACTGTCTGACATTGCAATATCCTCCAGAGTAACAACTCAATGCATCATACTTAGTCTACTACAAATACTGAAAAACATCAACAAGGCTGAAAGCCTCCATGCAGATAGACAAAAATAGCTGGGGATATAACAATCACTTCACCTGAACATTTATGGAGTGAATAGACCTATTCCCAACTTTTAGACATATTCAAATGCAAGGTCATTCTCTAGAAAAATATTTTAAAAGGAGTGTTCTAATGAGGAGTTCTACACAACAGAAACCTCAAAACCCAGCTCGTTCATACTTGCGAACATTAGAAAAAGTAAAAATCTATAACTTTTTCTCTGTCTCAAAATGTGCATCAGCCAATTAAAATCGCTGACGTTGTTACATGTGATAAAACGCTACATTTTAGCTGTTCCCATTAGATAACCTGGCACATTTAGCCCTGTGCTAACCTGCATTGCTGCCCGTGATTATATCCGGTAACATATTCCATATCAGCCAATTAAAATAGTCGACGTAGTTGGACGTGATCCAACACTTCATGAAAGCATACTTAACAGAAGTCCAAAAGCACGATCTGATAATCAAAACAATTAGATCACATGCATTTGACTGAGTGGTCATATAGCTCACAGTGTAGAGCATCTAGCTCACAGCAATTGTTGCAAGGGTTTGAATCCCACATGAGTATTTATTTTGTTGAAATTTAGAATTACATTTATTGTTAGTGTGTTGAGAAGGGAAGCGAAGCGAAGCCAACAGC